CTTCCGAAATAAATAAATCGAAGGATGAAAATGTCAAATCTGGAGCTCTCGCGATGTCTATAAAAATATCTCAATTCATATTTTAACAAATCCCACGAAGAGACATACATTTATTATAAACATTTGTAACAAATATCATTATCTGACAAAAAAATTTATATTCTATCATTAATATTATTTGTAAAAAAAGACAGATTGACATTTTTCATCGAAAGATTGACATTTATTGTTAGCATAATTATATATTATATTTTTACTCTTTTTATTCTCTTTCCGTCCGTCCGTCATATATTTATATAAAAATTAATTAATCAGTCTGTATATTGATTGTACTTTTTTATCACTTTTCAAAAAAAAAGAAAAATATCGATTTTATTTTATCAAGTCAGAAGATGAAAGAGCTCCCACTTTCGGACGTGTATTATCTGTTTCATCTTTCTTTCGCTATCCGATGAACGATCACGTTCGTCGCTAAAACGTTTGTCAGTGCGAGAGATGTTGAAGTACCGAAGCCTAACAATGGGCACCGCAGACTCTCAATGTCTGATGTCTTGATTTCCGTTAGTGGCTTTGGTAAATCTTTCCAATTCTTCCGACAGGATTGCACTGTCGTAGCTTCACGCGGATTTTAAGCGTTTCCCATTTCTGCTTTCGACAGAGAGCGACAACGACAATGTCTGTCGCGTACGCGCGATCGATTTTGCCGCGGATAAAAGTGCGGAAAAGAGGACTCGGACTTTGCGTTCGACGCTTCATCGATACGGATTTAATTTTCGTGAAAGCGGACGCGACTGGCGAGTACGCGAGCGATCCGAATAGCCCATGGAACCTGCTACGAAGGCAGAATACGAGAATCTACGGCCGGGATACGTGACCGGATACGACAACTCGAAGATAGAAAAATGATCTATCGGCAAAGTTTGTTGGAGGAGGTGCCGATAGGAAGATGGATGGCGCGGTAATGCTGTTTGCAGAGAGTTCCAATTCCTGTTGGATAATATAATTTCCAATCTCGCAATGTTATTCTTGCGCCGCAAGTATTGCAGCCCTACAGATTAATGGCATGCGAAGAGACGTGTGCTGATGACGCGACAGCGTTAAGACATGATCGATGATGTCACTGACGAAAGTCGAGAGAGTAATGTGTTTTTTGTAAGAGACATTATACATGTATATTGCAAATTAAAAACAATTTATGGAAGTAGCGATAATTAATAACCAAATTAATTCTTTTGCAACTGTCAAAACAAATCAAATAACATTTGATTTCAGAACGCTTGCAATATATATACATATAAAATATAATAATTTCTACGCGTATAAGTGTATATTATAATAATAATATACACGTAGTGTCTCATTATCTACACGTGTTGTTAGCTTTTTAAATCTACATATTAATGATTTCGAACAAACAGATTTTTAAATGAAAACACCATATTGCGCAAAAATATAACATAAAATAATACGAACATTCTGGAAACAAAGCACGAGAAGAAAGAAGTTCTCTTTCAAGTCTGATATGGCGGCGATATAAGATTTGATAAGAACTGTTATCAGCGCTTGTCTAGATACGGCGCGATAATGCGTCGAATGCGCGCAAACGTCGAGCACTATTCGCGTTACTCGAAGGCGACAAATATTTACGTAATTCACAGTGAGTAAACTGCGCGTGGTACCCTAATCGTTCTCCGAGGCAAGCAGATAGAAATCGTACCTGTCGACAAGTAGAAATTAATTTCTATGTGTTTCCAGCGTGGCGAAGCATTCGAATCTAGATAAAGGGATCCCTCCCGTACCGACCTTTAGGGTCCACAGCGACCCTTTTGTTAAACGAATACCTCCCTAGAGCCGCACATATCACTTAAACCCTACAATTGTCAAGGAACCTAGTATACCGTTGGTGTGTGCTCTTGTAAACTTGTGTAACAATTTAACTTACATTCGTTCCTCGCTCGATTTAGAAGGGACATATAACGCGCATTATATTACATTTTACGTAAAATTATTGTCGTATTGCACGAATAATGGCTTATTAAAGTAAATGATGCAACCGAACTGCTCATTGTGGTGATACACATCGCAGATAACGCCATAAATATGTGTCATATAGCAATATCTCGGCACAGATTTGCATGGCGTAAAATTAAAATAAACATCACATGTCGCGTGCACATCGATATATCATTTATTTTATGTTACTCGCCATTATACGTGACAATATGTTACGCTTTCTATTTAGCGATACCATTTTACGTGATTTATCGGCAGTGCATTAAATAATTACATAAAAAAAAAATTTATCTCTGACGAAATACCGTTACGCTCCGCCTATTCAACAATTCGCTTTTATTATCTTATTTTGATGGCGTACGATATAAAAATTAAATTTCATAGAAATTAATAAAATGTGCGCGCATATTATTTATTTAATGAAAAAATGGATAAAGTATCTATTGGCATTGAATAATATTTTAATATAAGCTGTAATTTTTTTTTTTGTACGTCATACAGAAACTGGCTACGTTACGCGAATTATTTACGAGCGTTTCACCCCTAAAATGTGCCGCATCTGATAAATGGACGTCCCCCAACCTTTTTTTGAGAACCCTTTCCGATCGATAATTTATTATTCACTGAATACTATAGAAAACTAGTTAATTGAAAATAAATTTTTCTCAATTTATGCAATCCGATTTTTTTTTAATTTCACAAGTCGTTCGAGTGTATTCGTTCATTATATTGAAATTTCGAGCGAGCCTCGGCACATCTAAAGGAGAAAGAGAGAGAGAGAGATTCCGCTCTTCGATTCGCGCTCGTTTTACATAAGACGGGTACATATTTTAGCGACATCCACTCGGCAGGGGGTAGATGAAAAAGACTTAGGAGCGACGATGAGAGAGGTGAAGAATGGCGCAATGTCGCACCGAAGGTCGAGGGAGAGGATTTAGCCCTCTCACATCGAGGAATGCCGGCGAGTTATTTTAGGCCTTCCCAACCCCTTTCCCATTCTATACAGAGACGCGTCGCGTTTACGCGACGTAACGAAATAATGAAGAAGGGCGCCCTTCGTCGCCGCGAACAACACCCTCTTGACTTTCTTGACGATGAAAAAAAAATCTTTTCTCTACAAACATTCCCTTATCCTCCTCTCTCTTTCATTCTCGTTTCTTTACATTACTTCTCTCTCTCTCTCTCTCTCTCTCTCTCTCTCTCTCTCTCTCTCCGTCTCTTTTATGACTCCTGAAAGAATACCAGAGCGCACGCTAAAGGGAATACTTTACGATGATGAAGAACATCGTGACATTTTCTACGCATAAATACTTTTTTCCATTAAAAGGGAGCATAGAGCAGAAACGTGAGCCCTTGTTCTAGGAACCTCTTCGTCCTCGTAAACAGCCTTTTTTAAAGCCGTGCTTAGGAAAAAGTTACGGGTTATCTATGATGACATAAGCGGGTCACATTTTCGAGAGCGCTCTCCGGCTGAAAGCCGATAAGATGCAATTAGTAGAATTTGAACCTCTATACGTTGTTTATTTTAACGAAATCTTGTCTTTCTTGATCAAGATGTTCCGAAGGATTCTTAACTCGACAGGAAGGAAGAAAGGAAGGAAGGAAGGGCGCGCGTGCTTCAAAGAGCGTAATGTTTCTTATATATTGTGCCTCTAATATTATATGCGCTTCCTCTTCGCTTCCGCTTAACTTTCCGTTACGAAGGAAGTCTTGTATCCGATATTTTTATGGCACGTTTTTTCCATGCCAAGAAGTATCTCATTCTCAGCTTTCGCGAGCAATGAAATTATGGTAAAAAAAAAAAGGAAGCGAACCACGAACGGCACAGGATAAGAGTTAAATTACATTTTCCAGTCGTCCGTCACGAATTAAAACAGAGAAAAAAATATAAATCTAAAGTTAACGAATAACAATTACTCAAAACGCCGCAGATATTTTCTTAGCAAATATATGAAAAGAATTTTTTCAATTGTTACAGAGAAACAGCATTAGTTCAATCTTTTGCGGATAAAAGTGTTATAACAAGCTATAAAATAACTTGAGAGATTTCCTTAGAATTATACAGCTTCTATAAATTATCATAATCGTGATTTTAAGGCGTTAGAATGTTTTCAACTATTAGAGTGAGTTTTGACCAAAATTTAGCTTATTAACCGTAGTTATATTATAATCAAGTTTATAATAGCGTAGCCTTAAATTTATCAATACTATAGCAGTTTCTCATTAATATATTAAGTAACAAATGTTGAATACAATAGCAGCGCCGGTGCGACGCTACGCTACGCTGTGTTATGTCATTGGGTACAAAGCAAGAAACTCCAGTTATACGCCCGGTTAACGTTAATGTTGTTGCAACCGCCTCTTGAATATGTTAATTAACTCTGAAATGCGGCGTAACACGGAGTGTTCTGTATGATATATGTAAGCCGAGTAGTGTAAACAAAACATTTTAACAGATTGCCGATGGGCCATGAGATTTGCCGATCTGGCATAATGCAGAAATTTCCGTAGCCTGTTATCAGTGTGAAATGAGTAATCGCAACATGGACGACCTACTTTCACATTAGTCAGTAATTATTCAGTAGCGTACAAATGAACGTCATTGAGTTTTGTTTACTGCAATTGACAATTTGCCTCTCAGTAGCAAATAATCTAACGTTATTATTACTTGATATTCCAGTGCTTTCTGTACAACGATGATTTGCGCAATATCAGTATACTATTCAACTGTCAAAAGTATTTGTAGAAAATGCCAAAAATAAAAAAAGATTTCAAAAACTACCAATATATAGGTGTCGTGTACATTATTACTTGTGCAAAAAATTAATAATAAGACGAATAAAATGTGCTATTGATTTTTCGAACAATAAGTTATCCTTTTTACTAATCTAAAAATACGATATTTAACTTAAAATAAACAATACACAGAAATGTTTTTTGTAACTTTTTTTTAAACTTTTCAATAAAAACAACAAAAAAAAACTCACGTATTTTCCTTTTGGTCGCCGTTGGCCGAATGCGATGGGGACGGCTGGGTCTGCTGTTTGGAGTAGGGATGGTGGTGCACCACGTTGTTGTTATTGTTGTTATTATGCATGTGCACCTTGTTGGCGTTGCTGTCGGTGGGTGAGCCCGGCGAGATTTTACCCGCCAGAGCGGTCAGCGACTGTAGCATTTTCATGGGAGTCCGTTTGGCAACCGGCTCTCGGTGCCTCCTTCGCTCGGTCTCGTTTATCCTTGAGGAAGACAGGATTATTGTACGCTTGCGGTTTGAAGGCGTCAACCCTCAAACTCTACTGTGCGTGCACGAACAAGCTACTTCTAGGGTCTCGGGCGAACTGCGAACTGCGAAACACAGGACACACTTTCGATTCACGAACCACGTTTCGCGCTCGTAGACGGCTCGAAATCTTAGCACGAGGCGCACACACTCATCACGTGGATTTAAGCACACCGACAATAACACGAAAGCACGCGGCCGAAAAGACTGGTCCCGCTGAGGTCTTGTTCGATTCTCGTACGAGCGGCGACTGATAGCGATCGATCCGACCTTTCGTTTCGTATACTCTAGAACCCAGATGGATATTGGAGCGTCTTTTGAGATCCGTTGCGACACGATCCAGCTGCGGGTGCGAATACGAAACCCTGTGGACAAGTATCGGTGACTGATAAGAATTTTATCTACATTCACGGATAATTGTGTGTGATTGTCGAAGCATGCGTCATTAAATTTAATCAACGATTTTTACTCCACGTTTGCTTTAAATTTAAAATTCGTGCCGACTGACGCAAAGAATGCAGACTGATTATTGTAATAATAATTAAAAATATAATATTATATTAAATCATGACCATCTCTGTATTTATTTTTGTTTTCACTTAATGTTTAAATTCTTTGCGTTTAATTATATTATTTTTAATACTTTCAAGAAAGTTTATCGTATTCGGAAATCAAATTAAAATTAATTCTTTATATATAACATAATTTATTGATGGAGATTATATAAAAAAATAAAAATCCAACATCTATATTACTATATTAGCTTCAAATTTTAATTTAACAAAATTTAATAAATTGTATGCGCAAAAAAAGTTTTATAAATATATTTAAATATTCAAGAATAAAAATATATCCAAGTATAAAAGAAAAGCAAAAACACACTTCTCATAATTAACGGTTAATTAGAAATTTCATCTTTTGTAACTAGACTAGTAGATGGTTATACAGATATTAGAAAATGATATAACATTATTAAAATTATGCAACATAAAGACATTATTTATCAATGAGTACAACATGCTCAGCTACTTTTCATATAAGATCTTGGCGTCTTGCAGTCTATCAACTGCAAACTGCATGTTTGGCACTGTGATCCGTCCATATGCGGGGCGTAAAATGTGGTGAAGACGAAGGAAACGCACGAAGACGGACGCCGAAGAACACGGGACGACACCGTGGAGAAAAACTGGCTAAGCGGGCGCGTACGTTGTAAACTGCTTTACAACGAGTCAATTAAAAGTTTAAGTTTAATTAGAAACTCGAGTCATGTGCGGTGCGCGGGCGAGGATGGGGGGGACAAAGGGAGAAGAGGGGGGGGTATCGTTGCCCGGTTCACCGCCTGGTTTTCTTCCTTCTCCTTCCTATCTCTCACTTTCTCGCCTCCCTGTAGTCGCCTCCCGCCTTTTCCATCTGCGTAACTCCCCAAGTCCCGAATTACCGGCTCACGAACTCCCTTTTGTTTCGCGCGCGTCTCGCAGCGGGTCAAGTCTTGGAAGCCCGACGCCCGGAAGAACGAAGAACGTGGGAGATACGTGCGCGATAGGAAGAAACTGATGGAGCTTCCAGCGGAACGATACGACGGGAGAATCCGTCGCCTGAGAATTCGAATTAGTTTCCGACTTGGCGCGAAGGAGCATTTGCCGATTTCCCGTTGCAACACAACAACAGAACTCTATGGACGGAACCGTCTTCGACTTTAACAAAACCAAAACGGAAGAATTATGAAGCAGAAAGGATGGGATTTAAAATCTTCAAATGGAGCGCGTACATTTTGCACAAACTATATATCGTACAGCTAATAAATTTGATTTGATACTCCATTTATAAATAATATTTCCAATTTTGCTATAATTGAAAAAAGTCTCAAATTTAATTAAAAAATGGAAAACACTATATTGTATTTATATATAAATGGAAACATATACATAAAATTAAGCAAAATATATATGTATATATAGTTTACTCTAAAATGTATCGGATTGCACCTTATTATTAGAAATGATTATTGTGATTTTCCATAATTTTATTTAAAATAGATAATCCAATTTTTTTCAATCGAGTTTCAATCGAATTTTTTATTTAATTCAATTCTATTCACTGTTTTCATGCTAAAGTTTAATTAAGCAAAATCAAGCACAATTATAAAATGACAATTAGTGTATATACGCGTAATATAAATTTACAATTTTTCTCAACGTATTAATCTTTTTACGTTTTAAATTCAGCATTACGGGCAATTCGGTAAGAGCATTCACACGGCATTAATTATTAATTGTATGAGATCAAGAAAGGATTTACCGGCGGTTACACAGAGTAAGGCGGACTTAAAAAGATTCGAATTTGACGTAATTCGAAGTAAAGGTTCGTCGGTTTTACTAGATCTGTTCTTGTAAAACCAAGAGAGAATTGAATAGGTACTTGCGAACCTGCCACTACGCAACGCGGAAGGAAGAAAAGTCGAGCCGACGCGACGGGTGTAAGAACTCACGGTGAAGAGATTTCAGCTTCTTGCGGATTACATTTGAAGGTCCGCCGAGGGCAAAAAGATGAGGGCGCAGGAACGCGCTAGTTCCAAGGGAGAAGGAGGCGAGGACGAAAGTGAAGTAGCGAATTCGCGAGGCGAGGACCGAAAGGGATATAATTACCGGAACTACCGGCGGTTGTCGAATGTCAAAGAGATCGCACATAATTTAACACGTGAGGCGGAAGCTGTACAAAGCGCATGATGCGGTGGGGCGGGAAAGATAGAGGAAAATAGAGGCGAGACGGAGTACGCCGTTTTTCGCGGCGTACGCCGAGAGCGACAGCGAAAAAGTGAAAAGGAGAAAAAAAGGGAATGTGGAAAGAGAGTGGAGGACAGAGAGAGAGAGAGAGAGAGACCGTATCTTGATATGCTACACTTAAGCCTTTTGTCCTGTACACATTTTTTCCTCTCTCCCTCTCTCTCTCTCTCTCTCTCTCTCTTCAGTTCTCTACTCAACTTTCCCCTCATCTTCCTCCTCCCCCTCCTCACCTCTCCTCGCCCGCGCTCACCCACACCCTCGATATACGTCGACGCTCTTTGTCGCCGCCCACTTAACGCGCTAAAGCGTCAAATTAAAAACTCGAGGCACCCTAGAAACAACGGCTATTAATCGCCCTCGCGGCAGTGATTGCCCGTTATCGTTCTTGCTCGTCGCGCCGTCGTGATTTTATAGCGCGTTTCCCCCGGTCTTTCTCACACTGACAAAACCAACTTCTCCGTACCTTTTCGGACTCACGCGGACACCACTTGGACACCTGGCCTAGCTGGAGGCGACACTTTCAAGACACCTCCTCGGAGCTGCAGAACGATGCGCGAATCGCGAGAATTATAACACTGTGACCTGAGCGGCGCGACGATCTCGTCGACGGTACCTGAGTACTACTACGACTGACGACTCGACGAGCGCAGTTGCCGACCATCGTATCTCCGGATAAGCCTTATCGGTAACCAAAGACCCCACCCTTCGTCTGTGGGACGCATCCCTCGCGTGCCTCTTTTTTACACACTCGCGTACTTCTCTGCCACGTCGGCAACGAACTTCTTCTCACAATTCTCTCGCTTACGCGCGTTCGCGTTTCTTTTTTCTTTTCTATTATACAGAGCACCCGAATCCACCTACGTCAGACTACTATTACACGTCGCTCGAGTCACCAGCTTATCCCGGATCGTCGACGAGACGGGTCTTTGGAGTAGCATGCAATCGTTCATGCGCGATCCAGACGCGTCATGACGACGCTCGGGCGACGTTTTGAATAGGCGAATCGCGTTAAGGAGCACGTTTCTCACGGAGTCCCACAATGATCATTTCTCTCCCGCACTTATGATCCATGAAGAATGTGGAGCCGCGTCGATTTTACGACGTCGCCATGTCGATCGTCATCTGCAAAGAATGTTCACCAGTTAAGAATATTACTCTCCTGTTTTAACCAAACGTCGTTGAAGTCGTCTGTTCGTATAACTCGTCAGTATCTCCAATTAAATCGGGATTATTAAAAGTAAAAAGTATATTTTTATTATTATAAAATTTTTGTGCGGACAAATTTCATTTCCTAAATATACAAAGAAATATAAAAAAAAAAGATAAAGGGCCGATAAAAGTTCGGCGAACAGAGAATAAATCAAGTCGGACGAGTGAGAAATCGACCTATTGCAATTCCACGTAGGTATACGCTTCCACCTACAATACCTATAGAATTGTAGGATACGAAAAGTGTTAATTGCCGAAGCGAGAGACCGGATGAGTGGCCCTAAAATGTGCCTAACAGCGCAGCAGGCTAAGTGCGAAAGAATGTTCGTCAATATTTTCTCACTACCAGACCGAGGCGACGAGGCAGACACCGACCGGCGTTCTTGGAGATTAGATAAGACGTGGAACGCGCTCCGTGCTGCAGTGACTTGCACAACGACGCGACGGCGTGGCATGGCGACTGCCTTGTGAAGACGCTGCCGTCGAGCAAAGCAGCGCGGATGCATTCGTGGGTGCAACGGCACAAGAAATATTTGACGTTTATTGTGTAAGTAAGTGCCCGACAATATGCGCGTCAAACCGCTAAAAGCAACGGAAATATTCAGTGGACGTGCGGCCTTACACAGCCGTTTGCCATAAATTATGGCATTATTGCCTTGACGATCGACCGAGTGACGCTCGTTGCGTGTCTTTCAAATTAGACTTCCGTAATCCGGACGGTCTTAGTGTAAAACTTTAAAACGTTGTCCGAGGTTATCGCGCAATACACGCGTCATATGGTATATAACATTTGATTGATAAGCGTAGCGATTAATACCGTTGCGGCTTCACTCGACTATAGGTATCGTGTAATATACAAGCATCATACATAATATACAAGCATCCGATAAAATCGCAAACATTTTTTTACATCCTAAAGCAATTAGAATTATGAATGTAAAAAACGTAACGTGATAATTGATTCTTTTATAAGAATTTCTTGAAAGTTAAAAGTAAAATAAGTAATATAGTTAAAATAACTACATAATGTCAATAATACATTTGTAAAATTTTGAAGAACTGTATTCACATATAGAAGAATACTTAAATTTCCTTATAAATATACAGCTTCAGGCAATACTATTGAAAAATAAGATATCTATTCAAGTGTAAGCGATAGTTTCTTTAATACATATCATATCAATTCCAAATAATAAGATATATGAAACCTTTATTATCTACAATCAGATATATTATATCTAAAAACACACACTACTTTCTCTCTCTCTCTCTCTCACACACACACACACACACACACACACACACACACACACACACACACACACACACACACACACACACACACACACACACACACACATATGTAGATATAAAATTAGTACTACACGATTTTTCCTCTTGACCCTCTTTATTTAATGATCGATAGCTTTCGAGAAAAACATAAATTCCAAGATTATTTCAGGTCGGAATTTGCAGGGCGAATATTTTTGCATATTTTATAACTTTATTACGTCATTTGACAGATATGTAAATAATAACAGATCGATGAGTAATATCAACAACCAAAGGTCTACAAAATATTGAAACGCGTTACAACAGAGCATTATTCAATATAGCAATTAAAAATTCGTTTCGACTGATATTGCGCTCGTTCGCATACATGATGTATTTCATTTCGAAATTATGTTATAAAGAGGAATTGATAATTGTTATAAAGGAATTGTTGTCAAGCCGATAAATGCAGCAAATACGAGTAAATTTATACATTTAACTATACAATATTTTCACTGAGAGGAGCCCTCTGAAAGTTTCCGTAGGAATGGCCGTTATATTCCAGCGTCGCAAGCTTCTGAAACGAGTTTCGGAAGCAAAATTTGTTCGTCGAAAAGTAAAATAAAGCATTGTAATTCAACAACGAGAAGTTTTACGTCATACTTCAGGTGATGGAGCGATTTGCTATTCCTTTGTGTGACTTTTGTGACTAACTGTTTGAAGTAACATGAGAAGAAAGCGGCAATAATTATTTGCAACGACAACATTAATCAAAATAATGAAATTTGGGGAAGGAATGTAATATGAAGGCACTTAAGAACCTGACTTGAATGTATGTGTAAATAAAAAAGAAGAAATGTCAATAGAGCACATGACCGTAATGCCGTAATAATATGGTAGGTATGACTGGATGTACAGTTGTAATCATTACGAGTTTATCGATCGAGAATTATTCCACGTAATACAGTGTAGAGACATGTTTGAAGCACGTTAGGCGTAAATAACTGGCAGATATAAGCAGGTCTGTGAGCGAAGTACGCGCCTAGTTCTCGTCCAAAATAACAATGCAGGCGGTAGGATAGTATCGTTATTGCATAGCTAAGCAACCATCACTTGTTTGCCAGGGCGAAACAGTCCCGTTTGCAAACCGACAAAGAGGTATTGTTCTTTCGAGGGATCTCTCCAGCACGCTTGGTTCCTACTATTTACACGGCCTAACTCAACATCATATCCCAAAGTTCGCACGGCTCTCTCCACGAATGACGTGCTTCAGGACAGTCACGCTTCGCGAGAGCGCATCATATAACTCTGTAATATGATTTGTCTAATTTATTTATTTATACATTTATCTTCAAGCTTTTCACGCAACGGTTGTCGAATCGTTTGCAAAATAGTTACAAACAATATGTGCTGCAGGCACATTAACAGTTAAATTTTTGTAACATACAAACTATTTGCATTGAGTGTAATAAAAAATATTAGAAATATTAAATAATAGAAAATATCAAAATGAAAAGAAAATTTTCAGAACATTCCTCACTGAAACGTTGTCGGAATCTTTTAATTTCAAGACTCATTGTTAGTTTAAGGTAAATAAAAAGTTGCACTATTTTTTCTGAATTTTTTAATGGTTATACAAAACCTATTTGCAAAAGAATAATCAGAATTCGTAACGGTTATTAACACTAAAATATATAACCACCGACATTAGCATAGAAAATAGCATTAGAAAATAGCATATATAATTTGCAGAAATTGACACACGATTTTTATAACATCAGCTTATCATACAAATGATCGAAAAACTCGAACGTATATATACCAACATATTACGAAGATGTTTCCTTCATTATTTGAGCACGGATATCATCGTGATTCTCTCAGCACCGATTTCAACGGAACGGAGTGCGGAAACAATGAAAGTACAAGAACTCGTGAGTCTGGCGCCATTCACGGGAACTTTCCGCAGAGTGCCCTAAAGTCCAGCGAGTCCAGATAAGTTATCGTCCCAGTTGGATCTCGACAACAAATCTCTCGAGGGTAACAGCGTTTTATCCAACGCGAGAACGGGACTGACCCGCGAGGAGCTTCTCGAAAGTCGACGAACGAGAAATTTTCTGAAAGTCGTTTGCGAAAAGTACGACGGTTCAATAAGCATTCGACGACTCGACAGGATCAATGAAATCGCCGATTTTAACGGAATTCTTATAAGAGAGATGCAATTTTCATTTATATAATATTACGGGAAGAGTACAGGAAGAAAAATCTATTCATGATTCATAATTTTCGATATAATACATATCGCATATCGTTTTTGCGTTGTGTATTTAAGATTATTAATGCATAAAATATATTAATTAAAAAATAAAATAATAAATATATATTACATAATATTATCCGTATATAGCAAAATTTAATCTTAGATATATGAGAAAAATTATTCATATAGAATCTTTTAAAATCGTATAGTGTAATATGAAATTTTCCTACAGAACAGGCTCTGTAATAGAGTCAGTATAGCCGCATAGTCATACAGTAGCCTCTGAAAAGTGCGATATTTGTTAGAACGACGATAAAATTACAATTATATGACATTACGTTCATGTGGAATATTACGCGCGTTATATTATTTCGTTTTTGTGCGCCGTAATAGCGCGTTCATTTTTCCTCGCTGGGCAAAATTGCGCTCATCGCGCTCCATTTAGTAAATGCGTCTCTGACCCGATTACAAATATTCCCGCGATCGAATCTTTTCCACCAGCATGCCGTTTAATACATTAAATACAAATACTCGTTATGCAACTCACATTTACGTCTGAGCGCCGCGCCGTGCAGGAATATCGTATATTTGCGATTGTAAAAGTTATAACGGTGAATGTCCGCGAGAATTCCAATGCGCCCCGGAAAAGATACTTCACCCGATAGAAATACGGTCGGTGGTAACGGGGGAGGGATGCAGAGTGTGAAGATGAAAAGTTACAAGAATGTTATTACCGCCATGAATTGCCAAAGGCAGGTTGCGTTTTCCAACCCGTCGGAAATGTTCCCCTGCGGTTCGCAGCTCGCGGCATGCTTATTTTTGCTCTTCAAACTTGTTCCATTTTCTATATCGAAATGCGAAATCTCATCGAGAGACACGAATGTAATACCATTGAAAAATGAATATCTATATATATATATATATATATATATTAATATATTATTTCGACCATTTGTTCCTACTTGTAAACGTTTATTCCTGTTTATTCACAACATATTAGCAAAAAGTAAAAAAATTCTGCTAGTTATTTTAAAACAATTTTGTACATGAAATAAGTATAGAAAGCGCCTTATACAAAATCAAAGCTTTTAATACTTATTAATATTTTTTGCGTGAATTTATATACATTTTTCCAATTCTTCAAACTATGTCAAATTTTTTAGAATTCATTTTTTATTAACTAAATTGATAGTTAAAATTTGTCTGTTATTATGATCAGTTATTTATATGATGGTGATTAAACCACGTTACTCTATTAATATACGATTCTCATATTCCTATAAATTGCAATAACTAATTAAACATATATCTCTATGTCACAATTTATACTTGCTAATTCATGCTCGGTAATTACGCGGGAGCAATAATTTACGATCAAATT